GGTGTCGGACGATATCGCCAGAGAGACGTCAACGTTGTTCTTCCTTTGCACGCGCTCGACTGACATACGTATGCACACTTTGAGTTGGTCAGGTTTCCGTTACTATGTGAAACATAACGATGGCGCTCCATAGCAGATAGCGCTGGTGTCAATAAAGTAAATTTCTCGAACAAAATTGTTTATGCGAAAAACCTTACCTACGTACTTGCTTACTTTTATTAATTTTTGGCTCATGTAGCATACAATTTTGATGTTATTGAAGTTTCAAGTTTAAGGCAGGAAAAAGGGTGGAGTGGAGTGTTATTTTTATCTACGCGCACTCCTCTTCCCGCCCTTGCTTTTAAATTCTTTTAACTATTTATTTTACTATTTTAAAAATAGTAGTTCAAAACTGGTTATCAACCAGTCAAAATTATTAGTAAATTTTTTTCAATTTAAAAAGTTAATTAAATATATACGTTACTATTTAAGTTTCACAGATTGATATAAAAATAATAAATTTTGGAGGGAGGTAAAACAAATAAAATTGTTAAAAATTGAGAATGAGATTGTACAATACATTATGCACAAAATAAATTAAATTTGTCTATAAACCTTATGAGATATTGAGTGGTTTACGATAAATCAATCACCATGTATAAGATACTTGTAATAACTAATCTTAGTTTCTACTTAATTTTCAGACCAATATTTAGTATGCAATTAGTATGACAATATTTAGAATTTGTACTATTATAGTTTATAAGGAAAAACCAACAACGAGAAAATCATGGAAGGAGCTGAAAAAACGTTTCTCTGCCCTCCCCCCCTCCAATACAAATACTGAAATAGTAACATTTTTTTTGATAGTGATTAGTACACAATTTGTTTAAATTTTGATGACCATTTTCATATATAATATTATTATATAATTTTGGCATAGATACTGTTATCGATCAAGAAAAGTATGTTTTTTGGCTTATGTTTTCAAAAATCCTTACTATATTTCCTACTTTTTTTTTTTTTGTTATGCTATACAGGGTGTTCCAGCATGAAAGGTAAGTAATAGGTGATTGGACATCTGGGGGACCCCCAAATAAGCCCCCAGTTTATATTTTTTCGATAAGTCAAAAATTGAAGGTTTCGACAGTTAAGTAAAAAAATAATGACCTAAAATAACAAAAATTTATTCCATGTTATTCAGTGCAAAAAGCTAACCTTAAAAGAGGGGCCACATCATTTTCAGTCCCTATCGGCCCATAACTCAAAAAATGATAAGAGAAAAATGATTAGAGACCAGAAATAAATGATCAGTGATAAAAGATAAATGCTAAGACGTAATTGATAAGAGATAAAAGAAAAGAAATAATTGGTAAGAGAAAAATTATGGAAGACTAGAGGTAAATGATAAGAGATAGGTGCTAAATGATAAAAGTTTGAAGATAAATAATTAGAAACAAGAGATAAGAAAAAAATGATAAGAGAAGAGTTAGGGACTGAAAAAGACTGAAAATGATGTTACCCCTCTTTTAAGGTGAGCTTTTTGTACTGAATAACAGGGAATAATTTTTTTTTTTTTTAAAGTCATTATTTTTTTACTTAACTGTCGAAATCTTCAATTTTTTACTTTTAGAAAAAATGAAAACGGGGGGCTTATTTGGGGGTCCCCCAGATGTCCAATCACCTATTACTTACCTTTCATGCTGGAACACCCTGTATAAATTGTTATTTTTTTTTCTCATTTGACACTACATGTACACCTTTTATACATAGCATACAATTTACATAATACTAAAATAAAAAATATTTTTTAATTTTATTTGAAAATTGATTTCTGAATTTGCTAAATACGTCGTTAAAAGTATATTTTAAGGGGGAGAAATGTGGCCAAAAAACTTTTAATTTTTTATTCAAAATTACATTTTTCCTGTTCCTATCTATTCATCATGTAGCTTAACGGGCCATGAAGGCCCAACGCTGCCATCATGAGATGGTTTCTTGACGAATTCGCTTCCGGGACGGGTCGTCAATCCGTCGCCGTTCCTATCTATTACCTAAACTTATTTTAATTCCATAACAATACTTGCTCAATGTATTTTGTTTTTTTTTTCATGTTAAAAATTAACAAACAAACGATATAAAAGCGAAAAAATATCTAAAAAATTGAACTTTTTATAAACAATCGATACTTACTACATTTTTGTTGTCTACAAAATAAATTCTCAGAGAGGAAAGAAAAATTATCATGCAATTTGACCTTATTAACTGGGAACGGGCAGTGCATATACGAGCTTTCATCGCAAAGTTTAGTCCGTTCTAATTTTTAAGCTCTAATAACATTATAAAAGTAAGGATTTAAAAACTGGTTATCGACCAGCCTACATTTTTAGTATATTATTCGTAATTTAAGAAGCTAATAATATATATATATATATATATACATGTTTCTAGGTAACTTTAAAAATTTGATATATAATAGTTTATTTGAAAGGGGGTAAAATTTGTTAAAAATTGAGATTAAATTGTATAAAAAATCTACAGAACAAAAAAAATCACCTAGTATGATCAATGATCATTATTATAACTACATGTATAGATATGCATACGTATTATTTAAATATATAGTATAATGTATATAACAAATACATTTATAACTTTTATTGATTTAGAAAAAGCCTTTGACAAAGTTAACTGGGCTTTATCGATGAACTCTATGAAAAAAACACGAATAGATTGGAGGGACAGACGAATAATAATGTTACTATACAAGAAACAAGAGACCTTAATAGAAGTATAGGAGAACATAGTACTACAGCAAAAATTAGAAGAGGGGTAAGACAAGATTATTCCTTATCTCCTTATCTGTTCAATTTATTTGTAGAAGAAATCATAGACAAGTATAAAAAAAACTCTAAAGGAATATGCATAAATGGGGAAAAGATCCACTGTATACGATTTGCAGATGATATTGCTTTAGTGTCTGAATGGGAAAAAGACATGCAAAAATCTCTAACCACCCTCACCAAAATATTGCAGGAATATCAAATGAAAATAAATGCAAATAAAACAAAAACAATGGTGGTGACTAAAGCAAAAGAAATTTCTTTAGTTAAGTTGGAAATAAATAATAACTTAATAGAGCAAGTCCAACAATTTAAGTACCTAGGAAGTACGATTACAAGCGATGGTAGATGCTCAATAGAAATTAGACAAAGAATAGCTATGGCAAAGAGAGCATTTATGCAAAATCGGCAGCTACTTACAAACAAAAAACTTAATGCACTTCACCCCAACCTTCAGGCAGAACGCAACATCATCCAATTTCTAAAAAAATCAAATCTACTCTCTCTTTTCTAAAAAATTGTATACTTAATTTATTTGTAATTCTCTCTATTATACTATAACATATGTATACCAAAATTGTACGCCAATTACCCTGCAGTCGAGGCTTTTGAATAATAAAAAAAAAAAAAAAACTTAATATAATGATGAGGAAAATTTTTATCAAATGCTATGTATGGAGCGTACTATTATATGGCTGTGAAACATGAACCATCAATGGACAAGACAAGAAGAAGTTGGAAGCCATGAAAATGTGGACATGGAGAAGATTGCTGAGTCAGCTGGACAGAAATGAAAAGTAACGTAGATGTATTAAACCAAGTAGGGGAAAAAGAATACTGCTAAACACCATAAAAGAAAGAAGTGGAAAAATGTTCGGTCACCTACCTGGGCATAATTCTTTTATGACAAATATATTTGAAGGACAAATAAATGGACACAAAGGTAGAGGCAGACCGAAGAAGGCATATATAGAAGAAATGATAAGACAAGCTGACTGTAGTCGATACATGGACATGAAAAGACTGGCTTTTAACAGAGAAGAATGGAGAACCAGATTTGCAACGACAAGGCAAGGCCTTTAGTAGAGAAGAAGAAGATATATATTCTTCATTTAACTTTGTAATGCTGTTTAATCTGTTAATATTTACATTATTTATATCTCATTCGTGTACAATTGCAAATTCTTACTTCGCCCTAATATTTGTATTACCTACCTACATCAAAGATTTTAAAATTTGTACTTACATGTAACCAGACTTAAACATTAATGATCATTCAATACTAAAGAATAACGATCATCTATAGTTAATCATTTTAAACTCTTAAGTAAAAATAATTTGTAGACTTTATAATTATAGACTTATTAATAAGGGCAACATTTTTACATGAGAAATACTGATTTTTAATTTAAACAAAAAAATAGTTCTTATTATTTTAATTATTCAATTTTTTTGGAGGGAGAGAAAGAAAATATTTGAGTTTTTGAAAAATACGTCTTTAGGCAATAAATTAATTAATACAAAAGTCAAAATGTTCAGTCGCTAAATCATTTATAATTTTATTAGGTTAATACACTTATCGTAGAACTACATTACAAATTACCATACGATAAAAAAAATTAAATATTTTTTTTTTCACAATTCTCATGTTTAGCTTATAATAATACTATACATATATTTCTAATAGGATTAACATAATATACAATACATCATACGTCAACAAATAATACTGTTCACTGACAAAATTTATTGTAAGTCAACGAACTATAAAAAAAGTTATATATTTGTTTATATTGACATAACAATTAGTACAAAATTTTGTGAATACGTACATGTAAAATTTGTTTATAAAATAATTTATGACATATTTGTTCTTGATCATTTTAACCGAACATCCCTTTACCAAATCCTAAATACTAAATATTATAATATTGTTATTATTTGCCACTGATGAAAATCAAATATTGCTGTTTTCTATATTTTTAAATACTGTATATTGTTGTTATTGTATATTATATAAAATAAATTAAAACCAAATGATAAGAACTTGTAACACCAATCATTAGGAAAAATAATATTATTATTAAAAATAAATAAAAACGCCACCTGTAGATAAAACAAAGCTAGTCGAGTTAACGATTTGTAATTACTAAAAAAAACAATGTTTTACACCTTATCTTTTCCTTTTTTTTTAATTTGCCTAATCACTTAACTTTTATTGATTGTATTAGTATTTAAAACTTAATCCACTACAATATTGAGACGATAATATGGAAGTGTTAAACTGTCACCACCAGGCAAACTAAAGAGCGTCAAATGAACAGCGGTAATTATATAAATATGCATATTATGCGTTATGTCTTCATGTTCTAACTCTTAATGGAATATGTGTTACCATAGACAGCAGACTATTAGATGACTATTAGGTGTATCATCATCTTGTACCTTAACAGATTATGAAGGGGCCCAAAGCTGCCATCATGAGATGGTTTCTTGACATGTTCGCTATCCGTCGCCGGAGACAAACACACAATGCGTGTAATATACATAAGCTGTGGTTTTGACATCTCAGAAATATATATATTTTTTAAATTTCATATCAATATGGATACTACATACTACAGTCTACTTCACATACATACATACACACTAATATTATTGAGATTTCATTAGTACAGCACTGTCATCTTATTATTGGGATGATAGTGTTGTGTGGTCGATTTACATTAAGATTCAAGTAAACATTTCATAAAAAATTAAGATAAATAGTAATTGACATCATTTATAATAACAGTTATAAATGGTATCTGTATCGTACCTGTAAAATACTAAGTGTGGTATACGGACGAGATGTCAAACTCGTAAGTCGTTAACATCTAAGGGTTTATCATTTTAATATTATTTTTCTTTTAAATCCTGTCTATCCACATAATACCCCGCATCCCCCTTACTTACCCCTTCCCCAAATGATATCAGTCTATTAAAATAAGATGACTATACAACTTTAGATCCTTAACTTTGGCTCAACTCTAAGTACTTTCAACACTGATTAACATTTTTATAACCTAAGAAATAATTCTAATAACTCTATTTATGAAGCGGCAAGAAAAGCGCAAAATTTTATACAATTACACTCAAACGCGAAGTCACTTTTTTAAGTTTTTACCGTAATGATTTCAAAACTTTGTTTATTTTGTTTTAAACTTAATATTTTCTCTACGGGAGCTTAAAGTCCAATTTTTTATTTTTGTGAATAAAATTGTATCAAAAGCGTTTATACTTTACTTCTACTAGTTTCTTCTAAGAAACTAATTTTCTAATATCTAAAATAATATCGGGCTTTGGGTGCCGTAGAGTAATTAGTAAGCTTCACATGAAAAACAAATTGAAATCCGTCTAATATGTTCGCCAGAAAGTAATCCATAGCAAAAACAAACAAAAATGTAAAATAACAGTTTAATATATGTGTATTTTTTTTCTTCTGCCGATTGATGTTTATAAAAGAAAACCTGATTTATTTCTTCATTGACCATTGTACACTATAGTCTAGTGTGAATTGTCTAAATACAGCTGCCGTCTGCTTGTTAGTAGGTATTTAACAAATTATTTAATAAGCACTATAATAAAATGTATTATTTGTATTTATTACAAATATAATGACAGAATAATATAATAATTTAAAATGAGAAATTAAAAAATGTCTTTCTCCGGGTAATTAAATAAATAACTTCTTTTTAAACTAAGGTACATGGGTTTTTATATATTCTGCAGACTACGTGAAACACATTTATACTGAGACAACCTTTTAATACTAGCTGTAATTTGCAAAACATTTGAATTTTGGTGTATCCATGTAGATACAAGTGGCGTCGATCATAATTTTGACAATATACTTCCACCGAAAAAATCACATACCATTTGATTAGAAATAAAACATTTCATTCTCCTAGACGATTTCTGGAGGTGGAGTGGCCGAGTGGGTAAGGAGGTCATGTTATCGCTGACTGCCCTGGTTCGACACTCGGTAACGGGCAGGCTACCCTCTCTCCGGCGACGGACTGACGACCTGTCCTGGATAGCGAATTCGTCAAGAAATCATCTCATACCTGAAAAAAGACGATTTTTTAATTATAAATAAAATATTTTCAAGTAAAAATTTATTAAAGTCCTCCGGTATTGCGCAAAACATAAACATTTTGTTCAGTTAATACCCTGTTGGTTTTATCGCACTACCTAGAAATACCTGTACGATTTGCGGCAAGGATATAAGTCTTCAGAAATAATTATAACTAAAATTGTGATAAACCCGCTTATTTAAACAAACAAATTTAATTTTTTTAAAAACATGCTTTTCTAAAAAACGGTTAAAAAAATTGAATTAAAAATTAATTGTTTTACAAGACCAATTTAGCTTGGATGCGAAGCTGAGAAGGTATTGACTCTTAAATGATAAGTGTTTTATTTTTGTGTCTGTAGACACGGATAACTTTTTTTAATGTGAACCGAATTACTTGTGTAGCACCATTTTAGATCCGGAATCGTATGCGATTAGTACTTTGGAGGGTCAAACGTCGAAAAAGTCAACTTCTTCATCCCCGAAACCGGGAAAAGCCTAAAAAAATGTTCGACTAAATAAAAAAGGGTGGGTCTTCTACCTACTCTTGAATGTAATATGCAAATTTAACAATTTATCGAGTGACTTTGTTGCATAGGGCCCACGATTTTCTACCAGTGTCAAAGGAAATACTAGGTTTCACGATAGTATCTAAACTTATTGACCTTATAGTATAATAATATTCTACCTCTCGACGTGAGTTATTCATTTAACTGCGTCGGACCTTCGAATCCGCATTATTATGGCTCGTAATCAAATGTCCATACACATCAAATGTTGTCGAGGCTAAACCGAATTATACCGAACACTTATACCATGTCCTCGTGCAATTATTATAGGCATCCGCCGTAATGCAGTTTACGGGAGTAACGAAATAATTAGATTGACGCCCATTTCTGTCTTTTGAACAGGTCTATTAGGAAGCCTTTAGACGAACACCTTTGTCTCGCGCGATTAGAATGGTACGGCGGGCGTGTGGCGAAACCCGAAGTACTGACGTGCAACGGTCAAGAATGTGCTTGAAAAAAGTTAACACGTACCAATCCTGCGTTCTTTCCATTTATGTTAAAATTGATAAGGAAGCGTGTCCGTGTAAAGGCAAAAACCGTGTTCATTTCCGCACGACTGACGTGGTGCGTCTTCGCTTCCGTCATGACGACGTCATGTTGTGTGTCTCGATGCTGTGCGCATACTTATTTTACTCTTATTATTACTACTTTTTAAATTAAATGTATTAATTGAAAAGAAAAAAAATTGCAATTGCATTTGCAGCTTTTCATGTGTTGACACAAAATAATATCAAAATGGGTTAAAGACTGGAAATTAAATCGAAATTTCAGTGATATTTTACTACTTTGTGAACTTGAAGAAAATAATCCAGATGATTGTAACAACTATCTCAGAATGAAATCACAGGATTTTAAATTATTACTTGAACTTTTTGGACCTAAAAAAAATACTGTAATGAGAATGGCAATAATTCCAGTAGAAAGGCTCATAGCAACTCTTAGATTTCTTGCAACAGGCAGTTCATATGAAGATCTGAAATTTTGTACCTATATATCAGCACCAAGTTTGTCATATATAATCTCGGAAACATGCACAAAGAGATATTTGAACCACCGAACTACGAGGAAAACTCGTGTACTAGTTCTTTATTAATTAAAAAAATAAAAACAAAAAAAAAAGATTTCATAATACACTCTTTTGGCATTATGATTGCACAGTGGTCAGCTATTATATATTATATATATATATATATATATATATATATATATATATATATATATATATATATATATATATTTATTTATTATATTAATATTATTATTATATATATAAATAATATAATGACCTTTGCTGTCTAGGGTAATAATAATAAAAAAAATATATGTAAATTCAAAACTTGTTTTCTGTTTTTTTTTTTAATTAATTTTTTTTCTGATCTATTGTTAGAATAATGTGTTATGTAAGTATATCGGAATTCTTTGCAACTAAATAAGGAATAAGTAAAAAATATTATAGGGTACTATTAAGGGTATATATATATCAATGTTTTCGCAAATTTATTTTACCCTAAGGAACATAATGTCGAGAGAAGAACATTCTCAAACAGACTCAATTTTAGACAGTGTCCTAAACTATTTAAGCTTAATTTAGGTTTCAAATTTTAAAAGCCCATCTTAAGAAGTAGCAGAGATATAAAAATTAAAAATACCGGGTGAATTGGTTCGTGTAAAGATACACTGGCATTGCTAGAACTTAGCCGGCGCTCAGATGGAGCTGTGAAAAAATATAATCTATGAAGTATAAATAGTTAGTGTGAGATTGCTCTAATGGAAATATATAATACATAAATATTATTTTTACTGAGTACAAGCGATTATAATTTAAATTATGGAGTACAAACAATTGAAACATGAATTATCGACCATTCCAACTAAAATTAACAAGACATTGATTATGTGTTCTTTAGGCTATTATGTTTTTGCAAAAAAAAAAACCAGTACAGTAGGGTCGGAGCATAGTGAAGACAGAGCATGGTGGAGACGGGGAGAGCACAGGTCTACAGGATTTTTTAAATCTGAAAGTGATAAAATCACTTTCGAAAAAACGTTTCGGTGCAAATCGGTAGTTAGTATTTTCAAGCCATATTTATGAAGTTTTTTAAATTACTGATTCAATTGAGGTGGTGTATTTACAAATAAGCATCAAAGCGTTAATTTGTAAGTGATTTTATCCGAGAGGACTAGTACAGTAGAATAAAGGCTTAATGGAATCAAAGCAACAAGGCGACGGAGAGTTTAGAGGTCTACAGGAATTGTTATAAATCTAAATTATAAAAGTGAATAAAATCACTTTCAAATAAACGCTTGGATGCTTATTTGTAAATACAGCACCTCAATTTAATATTTTCTAACTTTGCTGGCTTACACTGTGCTTGGTTTAGACTGTACTGGCTTGAAAATACTAACTACTGGTTTGCATCGAAGCGTTTTTTCGAAAGTGATTTTATCACTTTCCGATTTAAAAATTCCTGTTTACCTGTGACCTCCCCGTCCCCACTATGTCCCGACTTCACTATGCTCTATCCCCACTATGCCTCGACCCCACTGTACTGGTTTTTATATCTGTAACAACTATGAATAAGTAAGTCGATTCAGTGATTTACAGGGGAGCGATTTTAAACTGACCAGTTGCCATAAATCAGCATGTAATAATTAGGAACTCACATCTCTCTCAAGGTTTCCTGTTGGTCCAACGAGTTAGACATTTATTTAAAGTGTGCTAGGCGCTTCGGACTACATCCTAGCGTACTTAGTCCATTTTAACCAAAATTCGACTTACACACTTATTACACAGTTGTTACAGATATAATCTGCAGACTATGTGAAACACACAAGGGCAACACATTTTTACTACGACAACCTTTTAATACTAGCTGCAATTTGCAAAACATTTGAATTTTGGTGTATCCGTTTAAGTGTGAATTATGCACATTCCCTAAGCGAGTCGATCATTGTCATTTGGACAAATGTTTTGCGGTCATCTTAGTAGTGCGCTGTGAGTGCGACAAGAGAGAAAAAAAAATATTTATATATGGGACAAGGCAATGACAGTCAACACTACCAATAAGACGACCAAACAAATAAACAATGAACAACAACAGAAAATATTTTATATGTAGTTGCCTAAGGTTGTGGGTACAGAGGGGGGGGGCGAAATTTTAATAAAAATAATAATAATAATAATAATAGTAGTGCAACTAACAAAACAAAAATGTATTATTATTGTTGTACCAGCCGGTTAGTAGATTGATTATTATTATTTTACTTTAAGTATTGACGCCAATCGGCTGTTTTAAGTTACATAGTTGACATAATAATTAATAGTACATTTAAACAAAGGATAACAATATAAAAAGACATAACATAAAGATAATAATAATACAAATTTAATAACTGACAATCGACAAAGGTCACACTAGATTCGCCGATCAGAGCATTCTCTGCATTGGATGATTGTGGCTATAAGAAGTGGAATGAATAGGAGTATAAAAAGGAGTTGGATTTCGAGTGGTGTATGAAGGAACTTTAAATAAGACACGGGAGAGAAGATCAGTAGCATCAAAAGAATTATTGAGGAGAGCGTTTATAAATTGGGAGTCACTAGTCAGCATCATTACGTCGGGATGATAAAGATGGGATATTAAGGATACGGCTAATATGGGAGTAATCATGTTGCAATAGAGGTAATTTAAGTTTGTGTGCAACAAAAGACAAAAATTTATGCTGGACACGCTCAAGCCGCAATTGATCAGTAGCCAGATAAGGATGCTAAACAACAACCCCATATTCCAAAATAGATCGGACAAGAGCGAAATACAAAGTCCGAAGACAATTAATTGAACTAAAGAGCTTCGTAATACGATTGAGAAAACCTAAGACTTTAAGGGCTCTACCGATGATGACATCGATATGGTGGTTAAAGGAAAAGATTTCATGAATAATAAATACAATTACCATTTGAATACCTTGAATACCATTTATTCATATGAATAAATATGATATAATTGATATAATTAAATTCATTTTCAAACCGGAATTTTCTATATAAAAAACTTTTTACCTTCAATTTTACTCTATTTTACTTCGCCATTTGCTCTATCTAAAGGACCCTCTTGGGTTCTTTTGGATGGTCAAACCTAAATCCAGAGGGGGAGAGCTCGGTATCTCCCCCCTTACTCGTATGTCCACGCTAAGCGGCTCGGATTTGGGCATTTCGGATGATTCATCGCTTCACTCGGGTAAGAATAATCCCTGTTCTAGTAATACTAAATCTCCTACTAGCCCTCTGCCCTTAAAAAATCCAAAAACATTGCGACCTCTTCAAGTTTTCCCTCAGCCCTCTCGAAGACCAGCAAGGAGTTGGACTCCCCTGAAATGATATTGGTTATGCCGCACAACACGCACCTAGTCACCGCAAATTCAG